TGTTTTATGATTTGCTTTATTTTATAATTTTGTTATTTTTTTTATTTTGTAAATTTTTTTTTTTAATGTTTGAAAGCGTCGTATAAACTGCATTTGTTATTGAAATATCGCGCATTAACCCTATTTCCATTTTCTATTCTAAAAAATTTCTTCCAACTTGTACATACCGACATTTAATATTTAAAAATATATCTATGTATTTATAACTGCAAATGCACATAGATAAGATACTTTCAAAGAACTTGGCTACGAAAGCATAGCGAAAGAGTATTGAATGCAGCAACTAAGTTAGCGTTGCGTTAGTAAAATTGCATTTCAAGTGTTTCGCATAAGGCAACTGTAATTGTTTCAAGAAATGTATGAACGTATGTATGTTTCAAGTTTTGCAAGCGAAATTTCCAATTTAAACAAATTAAAATGCTTAAAATCGGCAAACTATTGTAATATATATATAAAAAACATACAAATATCGTTAAAAAAAGAAAATAATGAAAAAATAAATAGAATTTACTGCAAAATATGATAATTAGTGAAAGAAAATAATATATAAAAGTTTATTGCGAAAAAAAAAGAAATTAAAATTTTTCTACCATGTATTTGTAGCTAAACGTTAAAAAATTTGGAACTAAAAAATCAATGAATTTCGATAGAATTTTTTAATTCGAAATTAATCAAAGTTAAGTTGAAAAAGGGAAATACGAAATATTTGTTGGTGAACAAGTATCAAGTATATTAAAGTTGATTTATAAAAATATTAATAAAAAGTATAAACATATATTTACATATGTATATACTATTCATGTGTGTAACAAATTTTCCTCTAATCAAAACACCTAAATTAATATTGTGTATATTTGTATAATCACTTAAATGACAACTTTAACTATACCTAACTTACGGTAAATTTTTGAATTTAAAATTTACAAAATAACGCAATAATGCATACAAATAAAAAGCATAACACATTTACACATATGTACATACACACATAACTAAATTAACTACCAGATGAGTTCATTAAACTGATTTTCATGAGTAGGTAAATATGACAAAAATGCCTGTCCGTCTGTCGCTGCTAGTGTCGCCTTGCAAATATTTTTTTTTACACTCCTATGTGAGTGCGTAATTAAAACATAGTCTACAGTAAATATTACTCACCGCCAATAAAAAACAAATGCATGTGTGTATATCGTGGCCTTCAGTTTTGCTTTTCTTTCACATATCTCCTTATTTAGCAATTATTTGCCATTAGTTGCGCGAAATATTTGCTCTACATATATATACATATATACAAATACGAATTGCATATCATTTAATGCTCGGCGCTTTTTAAATAAGCACATACACACAGGTACGTTTGTAGTCAAATACAAAATGTAGAAAAATACGAATTTTCATTACGGAGAAAGTAGCGAAAATGTGGCTCAGGGTAATTACATAATTAAAACATAAATTTGTGAAATTTTATTTAATTGTTTTTAATAATAATTTCGTGGTATGCTTTATGCAAATATTGTAAACTAGCATGTGCAAATATTTATTGGCAAATATTTCATTTCCAAAAGCCTATTTTAGCATTTAATACAATATTTTCAAATTTAATAAATCTTCGAAAAAAATGATTTCAATTAAGATAGGGTTGTTAGAAATTTTAGCGCGTTCGTGTGAGCCGCGCCTAGTCTCACTATAATATTTACACTTTTATGATAACATATTTTGCCATTATAGTGTATATGGTTCCT